GAGAGAGAGAGTCTGAGAGAGAGAGAAAGAGAGTTCTTGGTTGATTTTAGTAGGTTCCTTCAGAAAGTTTATGTGAATGGACCTTTCCGATGCTTTTGAGTGGTTTTGGCACTTTTTGGAGGGTTGAAATGGGCTTCTAGGAGCTGATTGAAAAGTTAGGGGGATTCTGATTTGGTATTGTTGGTTTGCAAAAAGTCTCGTCGACGCTTGTGAGAAATTCGGGCGCGGGGGTGGGGGGGGGGGGGGGGGGAGGTGCATCGGTTTGATAAAGATTGATTTGTTGGAGCCATTTGGTGGTAAAGGCTAAGGCCCTGGCTACAGTTCTCGGCTTCTTGTTCATGGCTGGGTGCGCAAACTCGGGTTTTTGCAAGGTTCCTTTGGGACCAAACTTCTGGGCTACTGCAGTCTACATTGACTGGCTCATGGGGCTCAGGGCGGCTCGTCATAGACTTTGTCAAAGGTTTATATGGTGCACAGGGCATTGCTGAGATATCGTGAGGATATCTTGAGGCTAGGGTGTGTAGTTGAGAGTTTTGCTTGGTTTCGTTGTGGCTTAGACTGGTTTGGTACGGCTTCAGTATAATAGTTGCTGCAGCGCCGGTTGTGTGCTGAGATAGAGGCGTTGCCTCTTCCACCAACATTCGTGGACTCGGGCGTTTACATGACACATTCAGGATGCTGGCATCAGGTACTGCCAAGGTTAAAAGTCACTGAGCCACTGAGATGCACATTCGGTATACCGGACACAGGGACAGCAAGCACACTGAAGCATTAAGTTGCTTCAACCGACGATCTTCGAACCTTCAAAGAGACCTTCAAAACGAAACGTCGAGACATCCTTGAACAACGGCCCCCTTAACAAGCAATCCAAGCTCCTCCTTGTTTGTCGGTGCCATTGGGGCTTATTGCGAATACTCAATCCATGTAACCACCGATTGATTGCGCTCGTGGTTGTCGTTGATACTGCAAAGTCAGAGGGCCTGCTTGGAAAATTGGTCTTGTGGTGCTGAGAGGTATTATTGAGATGAGCACAGCGCGACATCGATGCCGCCCTGCTGTTGGGGTTGGGGCTCGGGCCGGCTTGCCGGGGGGTAAATCCAGTAAGGGACTCCCGATATAGACCTCAAACACTGGGATTCTGACTGCAAGGACTGCTGCCCCTAACTGAACTACTCCCAAAAATCTTGAGATTAAGGATTCTGCCATGAGGTGTTAGGCTTGCGTTGAAAGAACACAGAAGCGGGCCGAGGTCTGGGGTCCCAGTGGCACTGTCAGCCATGCCGGCTTTGGGGCGGCCGCAAGCGTACCTTGAGCAAGGGTTCGTTTCTCAGGTGCCGATTCAGTTTGTTGTGCTCCGAGGAACCGCCACCATCATAACCAGAAAATGCTTCTGAGAACAACCCGATTGCTGCCCCAACAAAAAATAACCAACACTGACGAACACACTTGTTTTAAGTTTGTCGGGTTTCGGTGTATTCCTTCTTACGGCTAAAATACAAAGAGTGCTCCCGAGAACAACCCGACTGCTGCCACAACAGCCAAAGTGCAGAACACTCGGTTTCAGTCTTAGGGCTTCAGTTCAGGGGTTCGTTTTATGAACCCCAGACCTAGCGCGGTCATTATATAGTAGACAGATACAGGCAACCCTACATCCAAACCATTCGCCCCAAACCCCGGGCTTCAGGAACGATATTGGGAAGCCAAGGTGTCAAATACCAACGCTACATAACGCAGACTGGACTTGAGGCCAATCATCCGATCATTGTGCTCTGCCTGCAGCACTGGCTTCTCCCAATAAACTTCTCAGCCACGGGGCGTAAGTAACTCCTCAGCGAGTGTTCCTGGGTAGCTGCTGGATTCTGGAGAGCCAGTACCGCACAAACTAGCTCATTGCACCGGCTAGCTCTCGCGGAAATGCTTTGCTCAATGTACTGTGGGTGAAAATTTACTCAGCTGAAGCAGCATCCTACACTCCTAGACCTGCAGGAGATCCATCAAAACGATCCCTACAGAAAAAAGATACCTACAGAAAAGGTGTTCCAGAAACCGTTGCCGTTGGACAGAGAAGTAGCCCGAACAGTCTTTTGCAAAGCTGCAAGCCCAAGTAAGCGCCTAAGTCTCAAACCCTGCAAACCTGCAAACGTGTGGAAATGGACCTGTAATCCATAAAACCTTCATAACACCCTCAAGGTCAACTCTCGATAATCTAGAGGAACCCAACACCCCACCCCTGTAGCATCCTAAAACATCCTAAAACCATAGAATTCGAACCCGAGCCCTAAACCCTGAAGCACCCTGATAGTGATAGCCTGTGGAACCACTACCGAGCCCGCACAATACTCTTGTAGAACTGTCATTATAGAAGACTTTTAGCACCATCCTAAAACAGCCATAGTCTCAGAGAAGAACTCCCCCGGCAAAGAGGTCAGAGCGACGGCCCTGGCCCGGGGACAGAGTTTGGGGTTTAAAGTCGGGGCGCAGGGTTTCAGGGCACGCGGGTGTGCTGTACACTTTGGAGTACAAAAATACAAAAATGCCCAAATTGCTCACTACTTACAAACCCGACGGTGGTCACCCTGGTTAGACTTTTTACGACTACGCTGAGCAACAGATTCAATTACAAACGCAGCCCAGAAGGGCAGCTACAAAGTAAGCCGATCAACGTTGCCGTCGGCCCTGAGTCCCAAAAGAGCGGCCTCAACCGAAACAAACTTCTGCGGCCTCTCCCCGTCCGGCGCAACAGCAGCGAGCCGCGTGACCATTCCGGTGAGCCCGGTGGACAATCCGTCGAGGACGGTGCCCGGACTCACCTTGTGCTCGCTCGCTCTCTCTCTCTCTCTCTCTCTGTCTCTCTCTCTCTCTCTCCAAAGTCCCTTGTTGGCATCCGGGCTTGGGAAGTTAGCAAGGAAACCTGAAACCCCTAACCATTTGTCCAGTCTGAATTGTGTGCTGGCATGTTCTGTTCGGCCCAAGACATGGCTTTCCGTAGACACGTAAAGAAGTACATGCCATCCATCCATCCATCCATCCATCCATCCATCCATCCATCCATCCATCCATGCATGCACACATGTACATACAAAGCGGATACGCACACATACACAAAGTAATACATACTTACACACATGTATGTAGGCATATACAGATCCATATACAAACATATATATATATACACATGTGTGTGTGCTATATATGTATGTATGTACAGATGCAGATGCAGATGCAGATACAGATTTAGATATAGACATAGATAGCGACAATGATATAGATACAGATAAAGATGTATCTGTATGTGCAGGCGCTGAGCGATTGCACAGCGCGAGAGAGAGACAGAGAGAGAGGGAGACTTTTGACTTTGCATTCGCAGAACAATGTCTTGTCCCCTGCGCGGCTTAGCGCGACATGCTGCATCGCAGCACGGCCAACTGAGGGCTGTGGGGCAATTGCCCACATCGCTCGCACCTATAGACCTAAGTACAAGATGGGATCACCACTACAGCACCACAGCTTTGCAAGTAGCTGCAGCAGGATCTACAAAAGAGTAATACCGGCATCACTCCACACATTCACATGTCTGGTGTAAGTTGAAAACACAAGACATAGCAATTTTCGTTCAG